ACGGGACACAGCAATGCTCTGCAGCATGGGCTCTGCTGCGCGTGGTCCAGCCCCCCCTTCCCCGCCCGCAGACTGGGTTTCTCTGGGTTTTTGCTCCACTCTGCCGGTGAGCAGGCAGGGGACGGGGGGAGCAGCAGCACCCACTCACCCAGCACCAGCGTGGGCCAGCTGGAGATCCGTGCCTTCAGGCCTTGGTAGAAGATCTGGTGCAAGAACATGATTGTTTCGCTGGAAGAGAAAGCGGGGGGTGGAAGAGCAAATCAACGCATGGCAAATAATGAATAATGAAAGGAAACCACCAGCCTGGGGAGGGACAGGGGAGCCTGGGGAGGTGGCTGGACAATGTGGGGTGCAGGGGTGTCCCCGCCCCGCCCTGCTACAGCATCCCCGGAGCATCACCCCTGTGGCACCTCCTCGTGCCACTGCCCAGCCCACAGTGGCTGCTCGTGCAGGTGACCCACGGGGATGGTGACCATCCGGCCAGGGCGTGGGGGCCAGGCTGTGGGCTTCCTGGGACCCCCCCAGCACCCATCCTGGGGACACCAATGGGGGACATCAATGCCCACCCGCAGGCTGCCAGCCCCGGTGGGGAGCTACGGAGCCCCGGGAGCCGGGATGCGCTGACCTGTTGAGGAAAATGCTGCTGACATCGTCATGCGTGATGGGCGGCTTCTTGGAGCTGGCCGCCATGCGCAGCGGGCGCAGGAAGTTGTTGACGAGGATGTGGATCTGCTGGACATACTCGGCCTCCGCCTCCAGCATGCTGAAGACCACCTGGTTCCTCTTGCGCATGCTGTCGGCGTGGGGGGACCTGATGTAGTCCTGGATGATGGTCTTCCACTTCCTCCGGCACAGCCAGCCCCGCAGGAAGCTCTGCACCTGCCCAGGCAGCAGCGGCGATGTTAGTGGCCGGGATGATGAGCTGGTGGGTGCCCTGCAGTTCCGCAGAGAGGTGTCCCCGGCTCCGTGCTGGGGTGTGCAGCCGATGCTGCTCCGAGTCCACCCGGCAAACCAACACAAACTCCCTGAACTG